GAAATTCTTTTCTAAAGAATAACGCATGCACTTTCCTTCGAAGTCTTTCTTTCAAAAGATTTTCTAATTGAAATTTTGGTTTTCCTGGAGCTTTACGTGCTGTTTGAAACTCGCCACATTTCTCTTTTTTAACAACTCTGTAAATCGTAGATTTCCCAACACCAAGCGTACTACTAACTAATTCCACTGTGTCATCAATACTTTTACATAAATGTTTGTCTGTAAATTATTTAAAACAATTAAATAATAATGTTTTTTCATTAACTGTTAAAGGACCGATTTTTTGTCGTTTACGCGGCCCATCCAAATTTTCCATGATTACACTAGAATTCACACTGCACCTTGCAAGTTGCAACTAAACGACATTTAGTTAACCGTCAAGAATACACAACTTGGACCTCCTTACCAAAAGGAAAACCTATAATCGCATTTTCGGTGAAATTTGTTGGGAAGGTATTTATCTACATATAATTCGATTACTGTAAGAAATTCTTGGAATTAAAATAAAACAAAATTGGCAAATAGGTACTTATTGAAAATAATCTTAAGATACGGCTATGTAATTTTTAATACACGGAGCTTTTGGCCTGTCCAAACCTTTTTCTATTGTTCTGTACAGCTTATGTTTATAAAGGACCAATAAAAGACCCAAAACTTGTTATAGATCGGGTACATTTATTACAATTTTAGGAAATATTTAGATTATTCTGTAAAAATATTTAAAATGACCGTATTAAGTTTTGCATTAGAAATGTTATTTTATTACTTTCTCTTATATAAAAATAGACTATAACCTATGTACTTCCTGAATATGATATGGGTGTAAACGATGTTTTTTTAGTCGTCGCCATACGCTGGTATGAGGTACATTAAATGCATAACTAATTCTCCTTGTGCTCAGTTTTGGATTATTATTATTAACCATATTTATAATATTTTGTTCCACATTCAAATGCTGCCTTTCACGATGCTCGTTTAATTAAGCTGCTGGGAATCTCCCATATCTTCTCATGTAATTAAAAACGCGAATAAAAGTTTTGAAATTTGATGATCTTCGACCAGAAAATCTCAATTCATGTTCACTTTTTGCAGCTCGAGAATTACCATCACAAAAACCATAAATGTAAATCAGATCTGCATATTCTTCGTTAGTATATTGATATGGCATTTTTATAATTACCAAATACAATAAAAAATATCACGGAAAATAATGATAAAACAATAATGACTGACAAAAGATGCAAATACAAATGACATAAAAATGTGAAATGCCAATTCCAAGGCCTATAAGATAATCTAATAATAAAATAATTATACTTATTTATTATTTACGAATGTAACGTTAGGTTCTAAATACCTCCTTTCGTATACTACATACACTGGCCTTCAAGATCGCCTGATTATAATCCGCTGGGTTCCCACGTTTGGGGAAATATAAAAACAAAAGTACCCAATAAACATTTTTGATTGCATATTAGTTAACGTTACTTTTACAACACTTTACTTATAAAACTTACAGTTATATATTTGGCAACCGTAACATTTCTCTTGCTGCTATAAACCTCTTAAAGAGCTGAAATGGGGCATTTATGAAGGTTGCGAACACCTCTGTTTAGTAACGCTAATAACTTAAAGTTGTATAAGTAACAGTAACAGAAACATTGTGGAAACCACTAAATAACTTACAAATAGATTCGTTTAAACACCTATAGTAATATAATAGAGTGTTGTACATTTTTAGGCAACCTTTATATAACTTGCCTATAATAGATTTGGTAATATTTCCGTTACCAGAGTTTCGTTATTTGAACATTGACATTTCTCATTCTGTCATTTGTCAAAACCTAGTTACTCTTCTCTCTCAGATACACTTATTTATTTATAATCCTTCTCTATTCCAATAATAATATAAAATTTTATGTTCTGCTCAGGCATCATCGATAGAAACAAAAATGGAGAATCACGATAAAATTAAAAAACCTATGTACTATTATTGTTGGACTTTACTGAGTGTTGGGTGACTTAAAATTTTGGTGGGAATCGTATTTCATTGCGAAAGTTAATGAGATACTTCGAAGTAACGTAAGGGCCACTATAATTTCCACTAATAATTATTTTTAGTTTATATTTTTACTTTAAATATATGAACCAAATTTAATTTCACAGCTTATTACTAACATTTACTATTCCGATATTTCATCAGAATCAAAACATGTTTAAGATTTATTTAAAAAATAAATAAATTATTATGTTTTTGTATATATGGTTCGTTTCCAGTATTTTTAAGATTTTTGTAAACAAGTATGGCGGAATCACGAGCAACCATATATAACTTAAGACGTCATTAATATCACTAAAAGTAATATTATATAACTGGTAGTAACAATATATATCTCATAGTTGCAATATAAAACTTAACAACCTATAAAATTCCTTTATATAATTTGTAGTAACACTTGTTACCATAATGAAACCAAAACGGCAATTCATTTCTGTCAAACGTGATGTCAAAAATTTAATCTTCGTCCACGAGCAACCATAACCTGAAATTATTAAATGATCTCCACTTTGTCTTTCAAAATAGTGCAAACTAAAGAACCGGGGGCTAAGGGGCCTCTACTTAAATTGTCCCATCAGCTTGAGAAAAGGATGACACTCTTATTTATTGGCCTCCTGTCAAAAAAAAAAAAATAACAAATACAATGACAAATGAGATATATAGTTATATTAGAATAATTTGTATTACTGATGGTTGCAAAGTTTTATAAAAGAGGCGATATTAACCAATAGTTTTATAACAAATATAGTCAACACCACTTCCTACCAGTTTTTATAAAGGTAATTTACGACACCATTTAAAAACTTAAGGTATTTTAGTTATATAAATAGAGTTACGGTAACCCATATGTCACCTTTTTATGAAACCACTAGTAACCGTTATTTAAAGTTTTATAAAATGGTGATGGAAATAGTTCTGTTACTTTGTTATACATCCATAACTACTAGTAACGTTATAAAACCATTATAAAACCTGGTTACCAAAAAATACAAGTTATACAACTCCGAAACTCTCTTATATAAATTTGTTACTATTATATATCTATTATAAAAATTCGGGTTACCGTAAATGTTTATTGGGTATATTCCATTCCCATAAATAGTAGGGAAGAACCAGTTGGGAGGATAGAAAACGCGTGCGAAGAAATGAAAAATAATCCCGATGTACTCAGAAAAGCCGTCAACCATATTTTATAACGAGCAAGAAAATGCATCGAACAAAATGGAGGTCATTTTGAACAACTCTTGTAGTTTTTAGTAGCAATAAGGTTATTTACTTCATTTCCAACATTTGTATTTCTTTGTATTATTAGTTGTTATTTTGATTTGTTTATTATTTATTAATTAGTTATTATTTATGTGTTTCTTCTTTAGTTGTAAATGTTCTTATTTGTTCTACTGAATGTTAGTCTCTTTCCATATTATTATCCTACATACTATTTATTAAAACTTACATGGAATAATTTATACAGGGTGCGGTCGAAAAAAAAAATTATTCTGATTTTTGGCCCTAAAACCGGACCTGAAATTATTTTTTGAAATGGTGTAGGTGCATACAATTATAAGTATTGACATATCTGTAGCTTTTAGAAATATACTTCTTTAAATAATTTTAAATGTAATAAAATTAATAAAACTCCGTCCGTTTCCAGTTTGTACCTCCAAAATGCTCAAAAATAACAATTTGGACTTATAATTTCAGTAGTAAAATCGTCGGCGCAAAAACAAAATTTACATTTTTAGTTTTTTTTGCTGTTTTCAAATATGAAAACAAAAATTTCAAATTCAGACATACAAGATGTTGTTTCATGAATGGACGAATTTATTAATTTTTTGTAAAGACGGACCTGGATTTCGTTTCTTGTTTATACCTTTTTAGATTTGGTAGGTTATAGTGAATAAGTACGCCAAATGTCAAAAATATATACAGGGTGGTTAATAAGTTATGAGTCTGGAAAGAAATAGACCAGGTTGATAAAACACTCTGTATCTCGGCTATAAAGGTAGAAATACCCATTAAGTGTGGGTTATTTGGAAGCATCTTGGTGGTCTTCATCCGTGGTTAGAGGGAGTCCCTTTACCAATGAAACACCCTGTATAATAAATTTATATTTTAAATTTAGATCGAAGAGATTTTTTGAAACTTTTTATACAACCTGTCTCTTTCTAGTATTGATTTCATTATGCCACTTGTTATCCACTTCTTTTTCTTTACGGTTTTTTTCGTTTGTTAAACTTTAATTGTATGTTTATTTATAAAGTCATTTACTGTATTTAAAAAATAAGATGCAGTTTCTTAAGCATCGGTTATATTATACAAATTATACCAGTCAAACAATTTTAAATCTGTTTTAAGCTTCTTTGTGCTGATTGTTTTTTTTTGTAATTAAATGTTATACATTTTTCATTTTTTTCAAATACATTTCAGTTAAAAATAGTTGCTCTATGACCAGTTACTAATGTATGAAGAACAAAGCTAGAACAATTATTATCTAAGAGGTCACCTGCTTTAAGATTAACAAATATATGATTCAAACAAGATTTTGAATTTCCTTGAATACGAGTGTATGTATTGATTGTAGAAGCAAAGTTGAATTCATTCATCACATTTAGGTAGTCATTAATCAATTTTTCTTTCGAGAGGAGGTTTATGTTTTTGTCTAACACCAATTTATTTTTAATATAACATTTTGATTATTCTTCCTGTTTACGAAAATTAGCCAAGTACAAAAAATACCGGCTTGCCCAGACGCATCAAAACAACTAGTGGTGAAGATGCAGAAAGCGGTAGTCCTTGGATCTCTTTGTCTTTTGAGGCAATTGAATTTGGCCGAAGATCACTGACCGAACAGATGTAAGGAGTGATCTTCTCAGCGATTAGACCTTTTGCTTAACGTACACAATAATTATAATAATAATATAATAAAATATTATAACAATACCTTTCCAACGCCCACTGAGCACGCAGAGTCTGTTAAATAATTGAGGAATCCTGAGCTCGGCAGCAATTCATTTTGTCCAAGCAATTGACGCAAGACATCTATCGGTAGTGTACCGAGTGCTATAAGTCTCAACAACGGACTGAATAAGTGATTCATGTAACCGATAGGAGCCAAACTAATATGAACTTTGATCTTCTTGTTGTATTCAGGCATTAAAGACGTCATTACATAGAAAGTTGTTGTACCTAAAATTAGATTATATTAGTATATATTTGAGGCAGTTAAAAAAATTGTAAAAAAAATGGTTCAGGCCAATCGTTGTAAAAATGAACCAAGAATCTCGCTAAACCGCGAAAAACTTTTAATAAATTTAATTTTTTGGCTCTTTACCGGCATTTTATAACAAATATCTTAACTATTTTCTAAATACCTTTTTTCAAAAAGATTACCAATTTTAAACAGGACCGCAGATTAACATAGTTTTCATTTCGATACTAATTCTATTAAAACAATGATACCAGTGAATATGGCAACGCTGCTAGTCTTTAAAGCCCGTGGTTAAAAGGGTAGCTGCCGTTTAGTTAAATTTGTTAATTCCTGTGTCGAAAAATAGGTAGTTGTTTTTGAAGAGGTGCGAAATTATTGTGATCGTCTTAGTTTTTTGTTGAGGCGTTGTTAGGTTTTTGTTTAATTTAGTTTTTAGTTAATTTATGAAATGAAACATTCTGAAAGGCAAAAATGCACAGCTGACAAATTTCTATTTTGTTTGCTGCCAGAGTTAGTAAATCCTAGAAAAATACGACATGTGCCAATTAGGGAAAAGAGATTGTCAAGAATTTTGCACGCTTAAAAAAATGTGTAATATACAGGGTGTTTCTAAATACATGCGACAAAATTCAGGAACTGAGTGCTCGTATGAAATTAAGATGGGTCTTTTCTATAACAAAATATCCTCAGCCCACCCCTTTTCGGGATATCACCCTTAAAAAGTGGTGACTAAAATTGAGTTTTTATTTTTTTGTCTAAAATTTCAGTAAAGCTAGAAACTTGAAATTCTGTAATCGCAAAGGACTAACCACGGGTATTTTTTCAATATTTCTGTTACATTATAGGGGGTGAAATTAGCAACACTTACTTTATTTCATATCAATACTTTTTTTGAGATGAACTTTTATGAAATCCTTGATTTATTTAATTTTTTTTATTCTTGAATTTTTGTCCCAAAACCAATAGCTTCAGAGAATAAAAATTAACACCCTTATTTATTATTATTATTTTTTTTTTAATAAATTGAGTGGAAAACAGTGTAACGGGCTTGTAACTATCGTATCGTACACTCTGTCATTATTCGTTTCTTGCAATAATTTACACCAATTTGCACCAGAAGATAGCACTTAACGAAGCGTTTTAGCCACTAATTTTGGCGAATTTTAAGAAATCATTAACAAGACATTAGGGGCTTAAATTTGGGGATTATATTAAGAATAGTGCTGTCGAGGAATGCAATAATTTTCATTATGATATTTCAAAATTAAAGCCCTTTTAGATTTTTTGGGAAACTGGAAGGAATTAAAACATTAAAATATATGCATATTATAGATATTATTGCCTAATTTATTTTGCCAAAATTTAAATATTTTGAGATGTTCTTGTCCGATAATTATAAGGGGTATGAACACCTTAAGATTGAAAGAGAAATAACTTTAATTCATGAGATGCAAAGCATCATAATTGTCGCGTCACAAAAACCACCTGCTGCCAAGAGAAAATTTTGATTCAACAGTATTGTATATTTTGTGTTGTAAAAGAGAAAAAATTAACATTTCGTGTTTTAATAGTTATTTTTTTAATTTAATAATCTATGTGAAAAAAAATTTTTTTAATACAGACTTTAAAAAATTGTTATATTAATATACTTATTTAATTGTACTTATATTTGTTGTTCCTTTAATACAATAAATACAATTTACCTATCTCCAATTCATCACTTTCCGTATCCATATACCTAGGGTCCGATTACAATTAGAAAAACACCGCTACGTCATAACTGTTATTTCGAATTTCCAATATACAGGGTGTCCCGAAATTGAACGGTCATATTTTAACAGCGTAATCTACATCCTACAAGTATTAGAAATTAAAAATTAAAAAAAACCGAATTCAAAAACGTGCAGATGCCGTCACCCAGAGCTGGGACGAATCCTCGAAACAATGGATCCGAATCACGAATCCGAATCACGAGATGTGATTTGAATCACGGATCCAATGTTCGAATCCTTTTTCAAAAAAAAAGTATTCGAATCAAGTGATTCGAATCAATTTTTTCGGATCACGGATACGAATCACGAATCAGTGTTATACTGTGATAATAATTATATTTGCTTTCGAAACTAATACTGTTTTATACCTCGGTCCTAAAATATTTAACGCACTTCCGGTGGAATTTAAAAACCTAAATTCGATAGGTCTTTATAGATCTAAATTGCAATAACTAAACAAGGATAAATATTTTAAGATTTTATTAATTTAAATATAACTAAAATCTAAAATCATTTAGCTTAAAAGAACTTTACTTATTTGCAATTATCCAATTATTTATGTATATGATAATTATTTATAAAATATTAAATGCTGTAGCTAGTTTGTATCTATAATAAATAAAAAAAACAAGTATTAGAAATTAAAAATTTAAAAAACCGACTTCAAAAATGTGCAGATGCCGTCATCACATCTTAACCAAATTTATATGGAACCATCTCTGAGGTACCCCTTACTAACAAAAAAAGAATCATTTGAATCGGACAAGGTGGTAAAGCATTATCGCTAAACATACATAAAAAATGAAAGTTTGAAGATTTTGTCATGGACCCAATTATTAGATTTTGACCAAATTTATATGGGACCACCCTTAAAGTACCCCCTTTCTAACAAAAAAAGAATCATTAAAATCGGACACCGTGTTAAAGAATTATCGCTGAACATACATAAAAAAAATAAAATAAATATTGCGATGAATTGAGAACCTCCCTCCTCCTTTTATTAAGTCGGTTAAAAATAGAAGTAAAAGTTTATATAAACAAAGGTCCGAAAACGTTTCGTTTTCGAGATACAGGGTGTTACAAGTGAAGTCCAGATGAAATATTTTCTAAAATTTCTTTAGTTTCCGGTTTTTCAAAGTTAAAAAAAAAATAAAATTTCTAATTCTACAGACCTATTAATTATTGTTTACACTTTCGAATAAGGTAACATGCTTTTCTCTTGAAAATGGCGCGTCCTAGCGAGATGCAATAAATGTAGCTTTATTATATAGAAAATATTGGTTTTCCAAATTTTATAGTCAAAAAATCTGATGTGTCCAACACATGACTTTCCTATCTAGTTATTATAGGCTTTTTCTGGTTATTTTGTACAACTTATTGCAGTACCTCTATAAATGTTTAGAGGATAAACTAAATATATACATTTTCCACATACATCTATCTACCTCGAAACATTTTTCTATAGTTATTCATTGAAAACGAAATTACTGAAAATTTTAAATTTAGCAATTTTCCTACAATTTTTCCATTACGGTCCATTTTAGAAAAATCATGTATAAACAAAAATTATAGAGATCGATATCGCAAACAACTTTTAGTTTAGTTTAGAATTTTGCACATTTTGTCAAATTTCTCGAATACGGACCATTTCAGGAAATTTTGACATAAAACAAAAATTATAGATTATAATATTAGAAGTAACTTTTATTTGAATAATTTTCTTCTCCAAACATAAGTAACAGATATATTCAATAAAATATAAAAACGGCCTCCCATAAAGTACCCCCCAGATGTTCCGACTTTGTCCAAAATCTAATTATTTCACGTCAGACCGAAATAGAACTTAAGTTTAAAATTTAGTGTTTTTCTGTGTATCGGTTCATGAGTTATGGTGGATATAGACACACATACACACACGGCAATTTTACCCTAAGCTTCCCCTAATTTACCCACCTAAGAAGTTTATCAATAACTAGAGTTTAGTCCAATAAATGAAGCGTAAAAAGGTAAGTATTTGTAACAAATTTTACCTAATTATCTTTAAACGTTTAGAAAATATTTACAAAAGTGTGGTATCAGGACTTCACCTTTAACACCCTGTATCTCGGAAAAGAAAAGTTTTCGGAACTGTTTATATTATCTTTTACTACTATTTTAGGATGTAGATTACGCTGTTAAAATATGACCGTCTAATTTCGAGACACCCTGTATATCATCTATAACTATCAATAAACAAAAAATATTTGAGTTGTTTGGTTTAAAAATAGTATTCCTACATTCGTATATTAACAAGCCACTAACCCCCAGTAGACGGCGATAGCCAACGAATTATACCTGAATTGTAATCGGACCCTTCAGGGTACGACATACAACATTGCCAAATTTACGTAGCGAACAAGGTTCCAAATACTTTAAAGGGAGGTCGTGAGATTCGTGCGGTGTGACGTCAGAAGGGACTGGATTGCTCTTAAAACAGGTGTGTTTAATTACACAGGGTGTCTGTAAAAGATCTTTACAAAAACATACCACATATTTCTAACACCAAAATAAGTCGATTTAAGTAAAATTACCTTAGTACAAAGTTGCTTCGTTTGGGCTCCAGAGGGCCTTGAAGTTACAATTTTTAAATCGTTTTTCCCATATAAATTTAAAACGGCATATGCGATTTTGCTAAAATTTAATATATTACTAGAGTTTTATGTGGCAAAAAAAATGGTATTAAAATTTTGTCCGATAATAATACATAAGCGTAGAACTTGATTTTTTAAATAATTGCACCTTTAAAAATTCTACGCCAATGGAAGAAAAGGAGTTTGATGTTCATTATGGGTATTAGTTATACCTCTTCTTGTAAAACCCGCTTCATCGGTAAAGAGAACCTTCTTGACAAAGTTTATATCTCTTTCTCTTTGCATATTAACAAATCGACAAAAACCCAAACGAACTTGAGGATCATGGACTAATAATTCTTGTACTGGCTTCTTATGGTATGAATATAGCAATTGTTCTCTAAGCACTTTATGAACGACATCTTTACTTACTCCTAGTTCCCTTCCAATTCGCCTGGTGCTTAATTCTGGATCTTCTTCAACACGTTCTAAAATGTCTTATTCAACTTCAGGAATCCTTACAAAACGTTCTCTTCCATTATCAACAGTGTTGGGAGCAAAGGAATCGGTCTCCCGAAGACGTCTCTCAACAGCAGC